TCCTCCTCCCTCCTCCTCCTCCTCCTCCTCCTCCTCCTCCTCCTCCTCCTCCTCCTGCCCCACGCAAGCCCTCTCCACCCGTAGAAGGACGGGGACATTGACTGAAGGGTGGAGGGGGGGCGACCGGGGGGCGATGGGGGAGGTGGGGATGAGGTGAGGAGGTGGCGGTGCGGGAGGTGGGCCGCGAGGGCTCCTCGCAGTGGCGCCGCACCCTCCCAGCCTTGCCCGCGGGCCCAACCCCCCCTCGCACGGTCGGGGGCGCCAGTTGGGCGAACGGCACCAGGATGGGCCGGCGGGAGGGAGGAGGGAGGCGATGCGGGCAGGAGGGAGGGCCGCCTCACCCCTCGGCGCCCCCGAGGGGGCGGCGCGTGGGGGGGGGACCGCCCCTCTGAGAAGGCGGAGGGGGCAGGCAGGGGCCTCCTGCGAGGGCCCGGGACGTCCGGATCTTGTCACAGCGTCGACTCCCCAGAAGTCTCGACCCATTCCCCGCGACCGGCTATTCGTCCTGAGCGGGGTTCTGACGGTCCCGGGGCCCGGTAAGGGCCCCAAGAGGGTGAAAATAACGAAAACCCTCCCGCCGTGATTTTTGTCATGACTCGAGGGGGTCTGGGTGAGCTCCTACTGGGATTGGCGCGGGGGTTGCTATGGGGACAGGGGGGATACCAGTGGACGCCAAAGTTGTTATACCTGGCCCAACCTAGCTAATACGTGAGTTAAACATGCTCCGAATGGCTTACGGGGGTTAAGCAACTCCGCTATGTGGGCAGAGCCCACTTCGCCTGGATCGCTACCCCCCCAAGCCACTTGGGGCATTAGCAACCCACTGCTGAGCTAGGTGAGGCCAGATATTACCCACCTTGGCATACACTGATAACCCCCCTGTGATAACCTCCCTGTCCCTTAGCAGCACCCGCGCTCATCCCAGTACAGGACTTGGTAGACAGCCTCTGAGACGCGCCGTCCATCCAGAGGCCTCCCAATTGGGGTCCGAGCAGACGGGGTCGGAAGATCGCGCCGCATCGGCGATGCATCGGCGATACGGCCGGTAGGCCAGAAGAACATCCTTCAAGAACGCGAGACCCTCCGCCGGCCAAACTAAAGAGTATTCGAGTGCGCCCTCTCCCAGGATGCACAATGACATCCAACAAACACGAAAAACGTTAGGGTACCGTCCCCGAACCGACCTCGATCTGATGCCTCGGTCCGACCGTACATCAGCGATGCATACGCGACGTCGGCGATACATCGGCGACGTGGGGTGGAGAACATTGGGCTTCACGTCGAGCCGTCTCGTCGATGCGTCGGCGGTGCGGCGCCATCGCCCAAACCCATTTTTGCGAAGACCAGGTACCGATACCGCTACTCCCGGGACCTCTCCCAGGGTGCCCTCTGACCAAGGCGAATCCAGCGGTGGCGACGAGGGCTTCCCAGGAGGCGGGAAAAAGGGGCAAACGGGCGCAGGGCATTGTTTGGGTACCCTTTCCTCCTCTGCAATTTGCTCTGACCCCATCCGGGTGGCTTACTGGGATGAGCGCGGGGGTTGCTGAGGGGATATGGGGGTGATCAGTGGATACCAGGGTGGGTTATATCTGGCCTCACCTAGCTCATTAGTGGGTTGCTATTTGCCCCAAGCAGCTTGGGGGGAATAGCAAGCGGAGTTGTCTAATCCACCTAAGCGACTTGGGGCACGTGTGACCCACTTATAAGCTATGTTTGGCCAAGTATTATCGCGGGCTCCGCGTCTTCGGGCCCCCCCCCCCCCAGATGGGATGGGTCCCAGGGTCCTCGGGCCCCCCCCCCCCAGATGGGATGGGGGGGGGGGAGGAGGAGAAGGAGGAGGAGGAGGAGGAGGAGGAGGAGGAGGAGGAAGAGGAGGAGGACGACGACGGCAATGACGACGACGACGACGACGACGACGACGACGACGACGACGACGACGACGACGACGACGACGACGACACCGACAACGACGACGACGACGACAACGACGACGACAACGACGACGTCGACGGCACCATCAGCGGCCAGCGGCGGCGGCGACGACGTCGAGCACCAGAGCTGTCAACATGACGCCAATCTCAGCCACACGCCGCACCCACACCGCACCCACAGGGAGGGAGGGAAGGGGGGAGGAGGACCATGGCGTCACCTCGCACACACCTACAGCAACACACAACACCGACACCACATCCACAGGGGGGGGAGCCACCACGCCACGCCCACGCCCACAGAGTGGGGGGGGTGGGGCATCGCGCGGGGAGGGGGGGCCCAATGGCATTAGCATTGGGGGGGGCCCAAACCCTCGAACAGGTATAACCCCTTTGGCGTCTACTGATAACCCCCTGTCCCCATAGCATCCCTCGCGCTCATCCCAAGAGACCATCGCTCGCACCGCGCGTGGGCGTCGTGTGGGCCCAAGGACGCGTCTGCCCCGGCAGGATCGGCGAACCCCAAAGGTGGCGCGCGGGGCAGCGGCTGTAGCGCCCAATGCCCCAGGGTCCACCAGATTATTTTGGGGGCGGGGTCCTACGCTGGAGCCCCAGACCCCCTCGGGTTGCGAAAAAATCACGACGGGAGGCTTTTCGCCATTTTCGGCCTCCAGGGGCCCTCACAGGGCCCTGGGACAGTCACACAACGACTCAGGATGAAAAACCGGTCCCGGGGAAGGGGTCCAGACCTCTGGGGATCCACGTTGAAAAAAGATCACGACGTCGGGGGGCGTGGGGCCGCTGGCCCAGGGGAGATGTTTTTGTTGGACTTCGACGCTGTTTCAGCCATGAGCCTGTCAGCAGAGGCCGGCCCGCGAGCCGACAAATCTGAGCCAAAGCCACAGACGGGGATCGGGAGGAACAAAATGGCGAATTCGCCGACCCTGTCGGCGTGTGTGACACGCTGTTCCGCCTGAGCCGTCGTCGCCGTCGCCGCTCCCCCTCTTTCCCTGGGTCGCCCTCGTCCTTAAGCCATCCAACCAGACGGGAACCAAACAGAAACCGCAATTGAATTCAAAGGGAAGCCCCTTCCCTCTGATCCCTTCCCTGGCAGCGGGGGGAGGTCCTGGGGCCCTGGGGTTCCGGTTCTCCCTCCTGGGCGGTCGCCTGTGGAGAAGGTGGACAGGGGGGAGGCCCCCTCGTGGACAGAGGGACAGCTTAAAAACCTTAGTTGGCGGCGCGCGCAAGGGGGTAGGGGGAAGGGGGAGGCTTCTTAGAAGCAGGGGTGCTTCTAAGAAACCTTTTCCCCTCTCCCTACCCCCTTCTGCGCGTGGCCGACTTAGTGGCCCCTGGACGCGACAGGGCCGCTTTTTTACCGGTTCCGTTTTACCGTTTTGCTGCCAACTCCGACGATGTTTGTTTGCCGGTTCCCTCGCCGTTTCCTTTCTGGTTCCAAAGCTTCGGTTCCAATCCTGCTCGTTGTCCGTTTCTGGTCACACTTTTTTTTCCCCGCTTCCACTTTCAACAGACACTTTTTCGGCAACGGTGAAAAAACGGCCCTGCCGTTTCCAGGTCCCAGGGCCCCCTCCCCTCGCCAGGGACCCCCGGTGAATAGGGGAACCACCACGCCCCCCCCCCCCCTTCCTCCTCCCCCCCCCCCTCCCCCCCTCCCCCTCCGCCTCTCCCCCCCGAGGCACCCTCCTCACTCTTATCTATCTGCTGTTGCGAAGTGTTGCATGTTTTCCGACGTGCCTCCGAGCGCCCTCAGCTCCGCTCCGAGGCGGCTCCGGGTGGCCACGGAGCTTCCCCAAAAGTTCCCCAAGAGGCCCCCAACGTAGCCCAATAGGCTCCCAAGAGAGCCCTAAGAAGTGCTCCAGAGGGTCAGCGTCGCCGTCGCCACATTCGCCGACGCCGCCGTCCCCCTTCAGGGCTGGCGGCACCAGCCGTAAGGCCTTCCTGTTATGGGTCAATGACAACGCTAGCGACCGTCTTCATGATCGGATGGCCGATTCCAGAAACCCTGAACCCAAACATGTCGTAATCCCTTCGGGGCGCATCCTTTACTTCCACCGGCTTCCGCCGGCGGATGTTGCCTCGTTCTTCTTCCGCCGCCTTCCCGCCGACTTTCCGCCGCCTTCTGCCGTTGACAGGATGACGACCCCTTCGATCCTCTGAGGCAAGGTCCTCTCTGGAATGCCTCGTTGGAAACATTATGCCCCCAGTGAGACGAAGCAGGGTCGGAGGAGAACGGGGAGGAGGAGGAGGAGGAGGAGGAGGAGGAGGAGGAGGAGGAGCAGGAGGAGGGGAGGAGGGAGGAGGAGAAAGAGGATGGTTCTCCTACTTTCCCTCTTCCTGCCTGAGGGTCTTCTGAACTGGCGAGGGCCACGAAGAGATTCCGCTGGTGAGGGGCGAGCGCGCCAAAACGAAGTCCGAAGGACCCACCCGTTCTTGGACCTGCCGCGTCGCGCAAGGCAGCCAGCTCGCAAATCCCTCCTCCTCGTCCAACTCCTCCTCCTCCTCCTCCTCCTCCTCCTCCTTCTCCTTCCCGCCGTTTCGTCATACTCCTCGTCGTTCTATCCCTCCGTACCCTCCTGCTCGTTCCGCCCCCCGCTCCTCCCCATCCTGTATCATCCTCATTCTGTTTGTTACCCCTTCTCGTTCGCATCCTCCTCGCTCTCGTTGACTATCAGACATTCCCCCATCCTTGATTTCACCCTTTGTATTATCCTCCTCTCCTCCTCATCATCGTTCTCGGCATCAGCATCCTCCTCCATCCTCCTCCTCCTCCACCTTGTCCCTCCTTTTCATATTTGCTCCTCCCTCCCTCTCCTCCTCTCCCGCATTATCCCTCCTCCTCCTTTCCCCTCCTCCCCCCTTCCATCCCCCATTATCATCCTCCCTTCTCTTCCTCCTCCCTTCCTCTCGCCCTCCCTCCCTCCTCCTCCCTCCTCCTCCTCCCTCCTCCTCCCTCCTCCCTCTTCCCTCCACCTCCTTCCATCGCCGTTTTTTCTTGCACCCTGTTCCTAAGTCGAGCGTCTGCAACCCTCCTGCTGCCTCTGCTGGTCACCGCGCCTCCATGATGGCCACCAGGTCGCCCGTCCGGGGGTCCCACTGCCGGATGGTCCTGGGCACGGAGGTGGGCGAGGGGGTAGGGGGAAGAGGAGGGGAGGGGAAAGTGAGGAGAGGAAGATGAGGCGGAGGAGGGGAAGGAGGAGGAAGATAAAGAAAAAGGGAGGGAGGACGAGAAGGAGGATGCGGCGGAGGAGGGGAAAAACGAAGAAGAGCAGGAAAAAGGAACGGTGGAGGAGGAGGAGGAGGAGGAGGAGGAGGAGGAGGAGAAGGCGGAGGAGGGAGAAGACGGACAAGGGAGAGAGGGAGCAAGGGAAGGGGCAGGAGAAGGAGAGGAGGAGGAGGAGGAGAAGGCGGAGGAGGAGGAGCAGGAGGAGAGGAGTAGGAGCAGAGGATGAGGATGAGGATGAGGATGAGGATGAGGATGAGGATGAGGATGATGATGATGATGATGATGATGATGATGATGATGATGATGATGATGATGATGATGATGATGATGATGATGATGATGATGAGATGAGTACAAGTAGTAGGAACTTGGAGGGAAGAGGAGCAGGAGGAGAAGGAGACGTTTGGAGATAGGATGGCGCGGAGGACGAGGGTGAGGAACAGTAGGAGGAAAAAGAGGAGGAGGCAAAAGAGGAGAACGAAGGCGGGGACGACGATGAGGAGGATGATTTCGTAGATAAGATTCGGCGGGCAGAGGAAAAGGACGAACTGGAAGTAGCATGACGATGAGGAGTGAACGCGGGATGGATGAGGCGGTCCAGGGACACTGGTCGGTCTAATGTCTGATCTCCCCCTGAGACGACGTCGCGGGAGGACGGGCACACGGACTACAGCTGACTCCAGAGGTACCACACCACGTGGCATAGATAGTAAGCTAGAGCGCGTGTGATCAGGCCAGGATAGGTGTAGTGTCATGTCCCTTGGCCTTCAGCTCAAGAACGCGTCGTTGGGGCATCTGCCCCATATGCAGACCCAAACCCCCGATGTCGTCATTTTTTCATGACGTGACCCCTCAGGAGCCTGGACCCCTTCCCCGGGACAGGTTTTTCACCCTGAACCGTTTCTTGACGGTCCCGAGGCCCGGCGAGATCCCCCGGAGGCCGAAAATATAGACATTCCCGAGGCCCGGCGAGATCCTCCTGATGCCGAAAATAGAAACATTCCCGAGTTCCGGCGAGAGCCCCCGGAGGCCGAAAATGCAGACAAACCTCTCGTCGTGACTTTTGTCGCCACGCGAAGGGGTCCGGGGAGAGACCAGTGCTCAGCGCCGGCACTGGGCTCGTCCCGCCCAAGCATCGCACGGGGCGCACACGCGGTGCCCGCGGGCGGCCATCCAGCGGACACTGGGCGAAGCCCCGCCCGATCCATGGCGATGGAGAGGAAGCATGTTGCCAAATGATCTCCAGATGTCCAAAAACATGTGTCGAACGTGTCGGAACCATGCAAGAAACATGTGTTGAGCATGTTTATGACATTTTTACAACATTCTAAACACACACACTTGAATTGAATGATAGGGTCGTTAGAGTGTCCATTGTCATGGCATCCACAAGTCAATGGGAACTGAAGTAATAGCCCTTTTCCATGCGAGCACTCTTTGGGGTTCTCGGACCCAGGCTCGAGTTCTGCTCTGCAGCGAGAGGGTTCCACGTTTCTCTTGCCGTTTCTCGGCTGCTCGGCTCCCTCCGTGTACAACGTGCCACCCGTGGGAACTGGTCCGAAACGTTCCCACCCAGCCGCCCTCGACACAAACTCCGGTGGCAACTCATGGGAGCCTCCCATACAATTTTGTCGGCTCCTGCGAATCGACGCTGATCGACTCTGGATCGACGCTCATCGGCGCTAGATCGACGCTCATCGACGCAAGATCGATACTAATCGTCAGTAAATCGACGCTAAATCAGCGCTGCCTCATCGACTCTCAGACGCTAATCGGCACGAATCGACGCTAAAGACGACATTGAAAGGGTATACCAGGCCCCCATGATCTGCTGCAGGACAAGCCACACTTTCCTACGATGCTCTCGTGCAAGTTCTGAGCATTTTCTTAGGGTGGAGGGTTCAGGGTGGAATACATACGGGCCTTTCCACCTTGAAAATCCATCTGTCTTGTGATTCACCCTTTGCAGATTCAAACCACGAAGATCAATCGAACCGCCATTTCAAATGTCACCCTTTCCCCCCCACCCAGACACCATGCTCGCACATTCTGCCTCGGTTGCGCCCTGGCCGCGAGGGCAAACCGGAAACGCAGTCCTGCCCACACAAGCGGGGACTGGGCCCCTCAGGCCCACGACCGACCATCCCATTGCGGGCAGTCGAGCAGGTAAGGAATCGAACTCTATCGGGCGTCTTCTGACCCGGGTCAATCCAGCACCACCCCGACGTCGTCCCCGACCCTCAAAGATTCCTGGGATTGAGAAACAATCCGCCACTGGTAATGTATATGCTCCAATTTCCAAGTAGGGGTCGACTACAGAATAGACTTGCCCCAAAAATTGCTCTTCCCGCCGAAAATGTGAAAAAATACGCAGTTCCGTGAATCCACGAGCATTCTACGCGTCTCTATTGTACTGTCAGCGGGGAAATCAATGTTTGAGTACATCAATTCTGTGATCGATGCCGTGTTCCTGGCAGAAGGGAAAGACAAACGTTCGGAGGTCCGCGCGGGTTTCTTGGGTCGGCGCTTGACACCCTTGCCCTGGCGCGCGGGCGGCACTGGAGGCGCCGCCAAGGTGGGTCCAACGCCGGCCCGAGAAATCCGCGCGGCTCCCATGCAAGTTTAGGTTGATGCTGGTTCCCGTGTTCGAGAGCAGGGCGTTCTCTGTACCGCACTCGCTGTCCTGCCGGTGCCGTCATACAGTCAACCCGCACAGTAAGCATGGGCAGCCTTCCCAAGGGTATCCTTGCCCCTTCGGCCCATCCTTGGGCACTTTCGCTGGCCGTGCCCCGCTCGAAACGCCTCGAGATGGCCTTCCAAGGCCCTTGCGTTCTTATCGTGCGCCCTTATGATGCGGGTTGACTGTGCAGCAGGTGATGGGGGGGGTGACGACGACTGTGGGGCAGAGGGGGCGGCGAGGGCCCTCCCAGCCGGTCGACGAAGACGACAGGGAAGAGGAATACGGGGAGGAAGCGGAGGCGGAGGAGGATGACGACGAGAAACAGGCCCAGGGGCGAGCACGCCAACGACCTCGACTCCGGCGACGACGAGAGGAAGGACGATCACTGCGGCGGGGACAGAGGGCGACGACGAGGACGAGGACGAGCTCGAGGGCGGCGACGGCGACGGCGGCGGAGAGGGCGGGCGGGTCCTGTCCGCCGAGCCGCTGAGCAGGCTGCCGTCCGCGGCCAGCAGGCACGTGACCCCCGCCATGTGGCCCTCCAGGGTGGCGAGGCACTGGCCGCTCCTGGCGGCGGCCCGTGGCCGGGCGGCTGCCCTCGGCCGCGGCCGTGCTGGACACACGAAGACGTGCCAGTGCTAGACGTGCTCTTCGGAGGCGCGCGTCCGACCCGGACGTGATGGTAGACGCCTCTTGTGGTGTATCGCCGCCCGAGCGGTCCGGTCGGGCCAGAAAGCGCCCGCCACGACGCCTGCACTAGAAGATTTCTCGGTGCGCGCGTCGCCCCCGGGGGGGGGGGGCGACGCACACCTTGTATCAATATGTTGGTGACGCCGGGCCGTGCTGGCTCGAGCGGCCCACGTCCAGGTCGAGAAATGCTTCGGCACACTATGGGGCCAGGCTCCTCCGTCCTCCCGACTTTTCCGTTTGGCAAACATGACAGGCGAGTCTGTTGCGCTCTTCTGCGCAGTACATCTCAAACAATGGCTCGCCAAACAGTGCAATCACCTTACGGCAAACTGGGAAATGGCGCAGAAGGTGCACATAGACAAAGGAAAGTAGAGACAAGTATCAGATCTGCAGGCGTCGGCTAAGTAGTCCCCTCCCATCCCACAATACCTCCGCAATCCGACTCAGCCCGTGAAAGGGCCCTCACCGAGGGCACTTCTAACCCTCACCGAGGGCAGCTGTGATACAGCTAGCTGGTACGTTGAGACTGCTGTAGGTTGGCGGAGTCTGTGCGACCTGGCTTTTGACTGGTCTAGGCAGCATTGTAAGGATTAGGTTGACACCGTCTGAAGTGGCAGGACTTGTTCCTTCCCCACCTTTTTTCTCAACCTCATAGCCCCCCCCTTCCCCAACGAGGCCCTCGTCGAGGGTCAGTGCTGCTCGTGTGAAACTGCAGTGCAGTGCGTTCCAGTCTGGCTGGAGCCTCGGATGTGGCGAGCCTCGGGGGCAGCCCTGGTCTGGGGTTGCCTCTCCGATGGCGCTCATCCTCCTGCACTTCCACCTCAGCCTCTTTGAACACCACCTCCTTCAGTTAATAATCGGCGTGCGGCTGGCCACGCTGCGACCTCTTGTTGCTGAGAAAAGGTCGTTGCTCGAAGTGTGGCTGAAGCGAACGGAACGAGCACGCCCTCGACGGGGGTCTGTGCAGAACGTTGCGCCTCAAGCTGGCTGGCGCTGAAGAGCTGTTGATACATGCAGGTGCTTCAAGTCCACTTCCTTCTCCAGTGCGTCACCCACCACCTCCAAGATGTTGTGCCTTCACAGCGGGTCTTGAAACTGATAAGAAGGCAAGCTAAGCCTTGCCGAAGTACCCATAGCGGTGGGAGTGCGATGCAGGTACAAAGAGCGCGATGGAAGCGACATTGTAAAAACATATATTTTGTCGTGACGGCGCTGGCTCTGACGGCGACTTGCTCGAATGCTCTAGCGGCTCCCAGGAATAGCAAATCCTTCCAGACAGCGGTGGGATAGCATCGTGGCCCGTTGGAACTGGAGAGTACCCCGTCATCGTCGGCCGCCTCGTCTGTAGGCTGCTGCGTCTGGAGGGCACCGCAGAACGTGTTCCCATTCCAAGCGTGGCGGCACAATGCAGCAAGGACGAGAAGACGAGAAAGCAAACGAGAGGAGAAACGATGGGGAGGAACAGGGGGGAAAAACGCATGGAAGTGATTGTACTACAGCGATTTTGTCGCAACGGTGCAGGCTGCTCGACTGACGGCAAATTTGATTGAGTGCTCCAGCGGCTGCCAGCAGTGGCAGCTTCTTCCGGACAGCTGCGGGATGGCCTCGTAGCCCCTTGGAACTGATTGTAAACCTTCAACCAAACGGCGGGTTTCTTCCACCTCCTCCTCACATCGTCCTCCTCCGCCGCCTTCTCGTCCGCAGCCGCCGAGGCGCGGCTCCATGACCGCCGAAGAGCAAAAACTAGCAGTCATTCGACACGTCCTGATGCCAGGCAAAACAAACATAATTGCGCTGTCGCAGCTTCAGAAGTCTCGGTTTCACCACCCGCCGCAACCACCCAACCTCTCCACACCTCGGGGATCTTCTGATCTGGGTCAATCCAGACCCTGGTCAGTCAGGCCTTGCAGAGTCCTGCAAGATCTTGCGCACAAGCCCGGGTCAATGCGAAGGGTCCTGCAGGATCATGCACCCAAGCCCGGGTCAATGCGACCCTGGCCCTGCAGGATCCTGCAAGATCGGGCGCTCTGGCTGACCCCCGCTTGCATTGGCCCCCGTCTCTCGGGCCCCGACACGCCCACCTCCTCCTCGACGCCGGCGCGCCGTCGCCGCGGCCGCGGGACAGCGGGCTGGGCACCTCCAGCCCTCCACCCGTCCCGCCGCCCACGCTCGCGCGCGCGCGCCACACAGCACGCGCACAAACAGACCCACCCAGCCCCCGGGGAGGGGGGAGGGGAAGGCACAGAGGCAAGGAGAGAGAAGGGGGACAGAAAGGAGCAGAGGGCAGGCCAGGAGGGAGGAGCAGGTCAGGGAGGCCACCCCGGCCGCAGTCGTCGTGCAGGCTTCTTGTTGGCACTTGTGTTTGGATCGGGAGACCAATTCAGGAAGGCATTGCGTGATGGAGCTGGTCGAACTGCTCCTCGTCGGTACAACTGGTGCCTGAGAGCTGCTCCATGCCGCCTGTGAAATTGTCCACTCCCCAGATACGATCCAACCTTGCACCTGATTTGAATTCGCTGCGGTACTGAAGCACCTGGGCTGCTTGCAACCCCCCTCATGCCATTTCGACCTGGACCTCAACGCAAATTCAATAATGATCTGGCTTTGCGAACATGGTCTTGCAAGCGGCGATGCAGTACCAACGTCCAGAAATGACGCCAACTTTCCCTTATTTGCCTTCTGGGCCGTTGTGTGTCCGAGTGCTTCTGAAGCGAACGAGCCACGCATGCTGCCCACATGCAGCAACCACGCGCGGTCTGCTAGAGCACATCTTCGTCTTCTGAAAATTCAGCTCCGATACGCTTGCTGCAAAGGAGGTAATCGTACGGTGCTGTAAACGAGCATATTTGCGCGAACGACAACGCCTCGGGGTTTCCACCTTCCTTTGAAGCCTCATCATCTGCTCCACTTGAACTGGCGTGCGTGATAGTTTCCGTTGGCTTGTGAATCAGACCATCCCAGCTGTTTCTGCTGGAGCCAATCGTTTCAGAGGGTGTGGAAAGCGCAGATTCCCCAAACACTTGTTCTCGATTGATGTTCGAACGCTCCGTAACTGCATTTGCTCTTGGCGTGGTGGTCAAAGTGTGCAAAGAACCAGTTTGAGCTGCACCTGCCTGAAGTCATGGCGTATCTGGGGGCGGCGGCGGACATTGGCTGAGTAGGGGGGCGAAATTTCTGAACGCTTGGTACTCCGAGTTTCTCAATAAGCGTCGGGGGGGCGTGACCCCCGCCGACAGCCCCACATCGATCCCCGTCGCGGGCGGCCACGCGCGCCAAAGGCGTTCCAACGCCCGTCGCGGCGCGACGACGAGGCGAGGTTGACCCCGTCGGAGGGGGACCCCCCCCACGCTTATCAGGAAACCCAGAGTATGCTTGGTGGGAAGACCCAATCGATCTGATGGTGGATCCTGTAGATGGTTGTGCCGGGCATTGCTGTCTCTTGCTGGCAATCTGATGGTCCCCCGCGGTCGAAGTATTATGTGATAACTCGTCTAGCACCCCGCGAGCGTAAGATGTGAACTCAACGGTCTCGGATTCTGCGCCTTTTGGATCGGCTCGCTTTCAAAGATCACTCTCAGGATGTATGCCGTCGCAGGGTCGCCCAACCATATCGTTGATGAGAACATGGCGGTTCAAGGTCGGAATACAGTGACGGGATGGCGCGGCTGCCCGCGGAATGCGGACGCGGTGCGCGCGCAGCGGCCGCCGGAGACTCGCCAGGATGACGCCCTGTGCGGCGGAAGGTGGCTCGGGCAGGTTGCTCGTCCTCCCCCTCCTCCTGCTCCCCTTGCTTCTCGTGCTCGTGCTCCTACTGTTCCTCCCTTTCCTCCTCCCTCGTTTGTGTGCGCCCATCCTCTCACCACATCCCCCCCCTCCTTCAGTCGTCCGGTGTCCTTCGTCGTCCTCTTCCTCCTCCTCCTCCTCCTCCTCCTCCTCCCTTCCTCCTTTCCCCTATTCCCTCTGTCCTCTGCTCTCCGTCCCCCTTCCCTTCTTTCCATCTCGTCCATCCTCTCTCCTCTGTGCTCCTCCTCCTGCGTTCTCTTCCACCTCCGTTCACGTCCATCCTCTCTCCTCTGTGTTCCTCCTCCTCCTCCTCCTCCTCCTCCTCCTCGTCCTCCTCCTCCTCCTATGTCCCCTTCCTCCTCTGTCCACGTCCTTCCTCCCTACTCTTGCCTCGAGCTTCTCCTCCACAACAGGTGAGGCCGGTGGAGGGGGGGGGGCGAAGAATGAGAGGGGGAGACAGGAGGACAACGGGGCGGGGGCGTTTGTGGATTGGGAGGGGGCCAGGGAGTGAGAGGGGAGGGTGCAGAAAAATAGGGAGCGGAGGAGGTGATGCGGGAGAGGGGGAATGGGGGAGGGGAAGGAGGAGGGGGGGGGGGAAGGGAGGGCGGGAAGGGATGGGGGAGGGGAAATTTGCCATCGCTCGGACGTCCATTCCCCGTGCATGTTCCTCAAGATGATCAAAGATGCTCCTCGCCAAAGGGAAAATGGACACGTCCGAGCGATACCAAGGGAAGGGGAGTGGGTGCACCGCGTTGCCCGACCTAGGCAAGAGGGGGGCGCACAAGGTAACGCCCGCGCGTGGGCGACAGATCGGAATCCCAAGGGGCGAGAGGGGGAGCTCTCCGCTTGTCCCACTGCTTGATAGTCAGGTCGCGGGAGGCGCTGTAGACCAGTGGCCCGACCTCCTGGGGGGCGCGCGCGTGTGCGCGTTTTTTTATGTGTTTATGTTTGTTGTTGTTTTGTGTGTTGTGTGTGTATGTAGGTGTATGTATATACTTGCGCACGCACGTATGTATGTATGTGCGTACGTACGTATGCACGTATGTATGTACGTGCGTTCGTACGTGCGTACGTATGTATGTATGTATATATACACGATGCCTAAATGCGTGAGAGAGATCACAAAAAGACGTAAGCGCCCAACCACGTACATGATCCCAGTCCGCGAGACCAGCCTCGTAATACAAACATTCACGCAATGCGTACATGCGAAATGAGCGTACATTCATGTACGTGTGCGTCCTTCGTTCGCTCCAGATGTATGTTGCAAAGATGTGGAAAGAGGAGTATGCGGAGAAGGGATGAGGAGGAGAAGCCGGGGAGTATAAAGGGGGATGACCATCAGGTTGGGCGCCATCAAGATTCCGCCGACCCTGTCGGCGTGTGAAGACGCTCTTCCGTTTGTCGCCGTCGTCGTCGTCGTCGTCGTCGTCGTCGTCGTTGTCGTCGACATCGCCGTCGTCGTCGACTTTGCCGCTCCCCCCTGCCTTCCATGGGCCCACCTCCTCAAGCGCGTCACCCAAAGCGAAATTAAGTAGCAACCTCGTAGTCGAGTCGAAGGGGAGCCCCTTCCCTTTGATCCCTGCCTCGCCGGGGGGCTGTCCCAGGGGGGCCCGGGGCAAGTCCCGAATCAGAATGCCCTCCCCCCCTCGCCCCCGAGGACCCCGAAGCCCCAAACCCTCAGAGACGAACCAAGACTTTCCCAAGAGGCCGCCAAGACTGTCCAAAAGGGCCCCGAATCGCCGAACTATCGGTCCAAGACGCCAGATCAGCCTCCAGACGGCCCAAGAGATTGCCAAGATGCCCAAAGGAGGCCTCCAAGAGCACTCCCAAGAGGGCCCCAAGAGGTGCAAATCATTGATTGTTCTTATTTTTGATAAATGTTGGGTTCTCACCTTGTCGGCTTCCCGACATTCCAAGACGGTACAAGAGGCCCCCAAGATCGCCCCCCACTAGTAAAGGTCTGAAACGACCCAAGAGGGCCCCAAGACGGCCTAAAGAGGCCTCTAAGAAGGCCTAACAGGCTCCCAAGACGGCTCCAAGAGGGTGCCCAGACAGGGGACCCAAACGAACAGTTCGAGCCCACAAAGAAGCCCTCGGGAAGCCCCACGCGGCCCCCAGGAGCCTCCCAACATGCCCCCCAAACTACCCCCCCAGAGGCCCCCGAGAGCGCTCCGAAGCGACCCCGAGAAGCATCTCTGAGGACTCTGACCCACATTAGCAGCTCGTCGTCGTCGTTCAGGGCTGGCGGCACTGGCCATAAGACCTCTTCAACATCCTGAAGGGCATCGACGACCAAGTGCTCTTGTATGGGGGCCATGTGGGCCTATGTGTGTCGGATGATAATCTTCCTGTTTTCGCTGCCCCTCCTCCTCCTCCTCCTCCTCCTCCTCCTCCTGCTCCTGCTCACACATCTCTCTTCATCCTCTTGCCCCCTTCCCTTCCTACTTCCCCAGTTCCGCCTCCTCCTGTGACGGCAGACTCACAAGTTCTGCTATCAAGTCTGCTGGGGCTGGTTTCGGGCACCTTCTTTGTGGAACGCTG